GTGGAGTTGTAGAGCAGTACCTTGTAGTCCAGACACATGGGCGATCGGGCGTTTATAATCTAGTGGAGGCTGCTGACTTTTAGTTTTAGATGTAGTTTCTTGCATTCGATGTGTCTACGCCATGTTAGGAGTCTATCGGGGTGGACGCCGAGATACGTTACTTCGTTGACTTGGGGGATTTGTGTGCTATTCAGGTAGATCGGAGAGCATGTTTGTCTGTTGAGAGTAAACGTTACGTGTTTACAGTTCTGTACGTTTATTTTGATACGCCAGTCGGATAGCCACTTCTCTACTACCGTGAGGTGGTAGGCTAATTGGGATGTTGCACGGACTGGGCATCTGGAGCGGCTGAGGATCGCAGTATCGTCAGCGAAGGTGGATGTTAGTAGTCCCTCGCTCGTGGGAATATCCGCTGTGTAGAGGACGAATAGAGTTGGTCCAAGTGCGCTTCCTTGTGGGATTCCAGCTTCGATTTTATAGTTTTCGGATGTTGTTGTGTTGCACCTCACTGCGAAGACTCTGTTGTAGAGATACGACTCGAGTAATTTGTGAGTGTACCCGGGAAAGTGTGTTTTGATTTTATGCATAAGACCGTTGAGCCAGACGCGGTCGAATGCTTGGGATACGTCGAGGAATATCGCGCTGCAGTATTCTCTATGTTCGAAGGCTGTGCGAATCTCTGATGTTATTCTTTTTACTTGCTCGATAGTTCCATGTTTTTCTCTGAAATCAAATTGATGGGCTGTGATAATGTTATGAGCTATGTTATATATGGTAATATGCGTGTTAGAAGGCATTTTTCGAACAGTTTGGACAGGCATGATAAAAGACTTATTGGTCTGTAAGAGGACGGAATCGTGTGATCTTTTCCGGGCTTTGGTATCATTATAATTATTGACTTTTTCCATTTTTTTTGGATAGTAGCCAAGACTTATGATCCCATTGAAGAGTTTACAGATGACCTCAATAGCACAGTTTGGAAGTTCAATTATCATTTTTGGAGTTATTTCGTCACCGCCGGGAGCCTTTTTCGGTTTTAGCCTCCGGATGACTTTGGTGATCTCATTCGGTCGAAACGATGGTATTGTAGATTCGCTTTCAGTTTGGATTTCTGGTAGAGCAAAAGGACTTGCGGCGGGATTCGGTTGGAAGACGCCCCTGAGATGTGAGGCAAATGTTTCGGCTCTGTCTGTGTCGCTGCGCGCCCAGCCACCTGAAGAATTTCTTATTGGGGAGACGGTTTTAGCCGGAGAGCTTAGATTTGGGTGAGCCCTCCAGAAAGGATGCTTTGCACTTGTTGGAGAGAGTTTCTCGATATATCTCAGTTGTGCGTTTTTGGCATCTTGCTTCAGAACCCGGTTTAGTTTGCGGGTGCTTCATTTAGACGTTGCTTTGAGCATGGCGATCTGCTGGTTTGCCACGCCCGTCGCAGACGCCTCTTTTCCAGAACGAGCTGTTCAATTTGAAGGTTGGTTTTGAACTTCTTTATTTGCACATCATGTCGTTGTGGTGTTGAGATCCTGGCTGCTGTGACGAGTACCTCTTCCAGGGCGGCGGTAGAGCAGTCGATGTCCTCTTCGATGTTGAGCTGGATGTTAATTTCAATGTGGGAACTGACGTACTTCCTATATTTCATCCAGTCAGTTCTGTGCAACGTCAGCCTGTAGGTGTAGTCCGTAATTTCTGGGTTTTGAAGAAGGGTTATCAACAATGGAGAGTGGTCTGATGAGAGATCGGGTGGGGCCGTGGCGCTTATTAGGTTGCGTGGGATGTTTTTTGTAACCGCGAAATCAATTAGATCTGGGATCTTTCTAGGATCTGCTGGCCAATATGTGGGGCTACCAGGAGAAACGTAGTCCAACTTATCCAACTTATAGTGCATCAGCGTAGGAGATGCCGTTGGTGGTACTGAGCGGACCGAAAGATGATCTGGCTGCCTTGGCGAAAAATCCCTCTGGCGTAGTTTTTGATTTAAAATACACATTTTGTGTATTTTGTTGACGCGTAGCTGTCGCTTGTCGCATGCGACTCTTCAGCTCCTTGTAGATCAGACAGCCTCTGTAGTTTGCCGTATGGTTTCCTCCGCAGTTCCCACATTTTTTTGTATGGGGATCTTCTTTGTTAGCAGGGGAGTGTGCGGAATTGTGGAAGTCTCCGCAGACAACACAAACTGACCGAAGTGTGCAGTATGTCCTGGTGTGCCCAAACTCCTGACAATTTGTGCATTGCACTGGTCCGTTCCGTTTGTGAGAACTGTAGCTTGTAGATCAGGTGCACTTCATTTTTCTTTAGGGTTTTGCCATCTTGCTCGAGCTCGACCTTAAAGAGTGGTTGCGGCTTTTTTTTTTTGTTAATAATATTGCTAACATTCTTAGCAGAGAATCCCTTGTCTTTAAGGGCTTCTAGTATCTCAGAGGGGGCGACGTCGGGTTCGATTCCTTTTAGTACTACCTGCAGCCCTTTGCTGCTTTTTAGTTGGTAGGTGTAAAAATTCTTTTTTGTTTCCTCCAGGTATTTGGAATCAGCTCGGAAATGTTCTTCATATTTCGTCTGCACTTTAGTTTCATGGATGTTCCCTTTAATAAGCGGAAAAACATGAAAATTTTCGTCCCCGACCAGCGCAACAATTTTGTTGACCAGGGCGTTTGAGCTTTTTTCCCTAATATAAATAGGGGGGGCTTTGGTTTCTTTTGGGTCACTTGCTCCGGCTCAGCTTGGATCTCACCATCTGCTAAGAGGGAAAATCTTTTGCTATTGTTGAAAATCATGGTTTTATCTTTGATTTGGATTGTACGGTTGATCTTTGGTTTGTTACCAACCGTGTTTTTCGGACTAAGCTTACGCTTAATCTGGATGTGGCGATCCATACCGGTCTGTATGGCCGGAACCGCTTGTTGCTTATCGTAGCTTACGGTTTTTGTTGCTTTTGCAGTTTGCGATGGAGCCGTTGACACCGTTTTCGGAATATTGGTCGTTGCTTTAGTTGTTGCCGTTACTTTTGCTGAGGTAGTAGAAATTGAAGCACTGCTTGTTGTTGGTGCGTCTCCCATAGAAGACGGTGGTGGTGTGGTCTGGCATTGATAACTCCAAGATGTAGGAGTTGGAATGAGTAGGGCTGGTGATAGAGAGCGGGCTCTCGTGCTTTCGACGGCCAGTAGGGCCGGGTTGCTCTTTGTAGACGTTTTCTCGGGTTCGGTATCGCGGGTTGAGAAATAAGCATAACAAGCGTTTCTTTGGTTTACGGAGCTTCTACGCTCATTATTTTGCTCGCCGCTCATTTATTTGAGCTAATCGCGCGTGGCTAAATTTGTGAAAAACTGTATTATATCACTTATATAAGTAATTAGATATATGCAACATGAGCAGGAGTACCCACGCGTAAGCGTAAGCGAATTTCGCGAAATAGAAATCAGATATTTTCGGTGTATTTTTAGTTACTTGGCGGAGCGATATAAAAACACGTATGTTGTCATTGACAGTTCACTTAGTTGGAATAAATTTGACGCTATTTTTTAAGCCGAATGATAATCGCGTGAAGCGATATGAACGTTACATCTCCTGAACTTTTTCGAGTTCAATTTGATGAAAACCAGACATTAAGTCTAGGCATATACTTCTCAAACCAGACATTAAGTCTAGGCATATACTTCTCATGCCTAGACTTAATGTCTGGTTTTCATTCACTCTTCATAATTGAATTAAAATATCATCAGGGTAGCGGAAATTTATCCGACAGAAGTTTTTAATTAATGTGACGCTAGTCAACTACTAATCGCCATTTGAACTTGTCAGAACCGGGAAGTGATTCCTTCGGAACTAACAAAGGTGGGCTTCGTTTTTGAACATATTACTGTGTTTCGCCTGTATGACTATGAAGATTTCTATAATTTTTTATATATGTATGCGGTTTTATCACCTTTTAATTTTAGTTTGTATATGTAGAAATTGTTTGTGCTTATCAAATCGGTTTTGAAATTCCGAATAATTTTGATTTTAATTGTGGGGGAATTTTTTCGTTAGTTGAGATACGACAGTTTTTGCTCTTGATTCTGGAATAATTTGAACTATTTTATAGTTCGAATATGTTTCATATTTAACATTTTTAATATTTACTATTTGATCTGTACTAGTTATATTAAGAAATCGGGCTTTAGCAGTATATTGGGTGGCTGTTTTTCTGCGTTGCTGTGTGCTTCATCAGCCTTGCTAACAATACTTTAACCGTTTCGCGTTTGATAATGCTTTTACTTTGGCTAATGTAGCTTCAATTCCGATTAAATTCCTGGCTCCAACTGGGAGCTAGGAGGGTATGATAATTTCAGCCAGAAGTTTGCAACTTAGTGAAGGAGACACAACAGACTCCATAAAGTATAAATATTCTTGATCAACAATACGATCTGAATCGAACTACGTCCAGACGTCTGTCTACTTCTCTTTAAACTAGTCTCTCATTTTTAAAGCTATCTTGCTGAAACTTTCCCAAAAGTTGTGAAGTTATTGTACGCAGTATAACGGAACTTGCTGGATCGGCTGACTATATCGGATAGCTCCCATACGAGATAATGAAAAAAAAATTCTTACGGCGTTGTTTTTGATCAGATCGACTTGATTTCTTCTAGATGGCGTTTTCTAACTACTATTAAATTCCGGTTTAAATTTTACTTAAATCGGATAACTCTATCATATAGCTGCCATAGGAAAGATCGAAAAATCTATGTATATAGAAATAACGGAAATAAAATTATAGCATCGTTGTTTTTCATCAGACAAACATAATTATTGGAAATTACGAATTAAATTTTGTCAAAATCGGACATAGTCGTCCATAGTATAGCTGCCATATGAACAATTGTTCAAAACATGTAAAATTAATAGAAAAATAGCTTCGATGTTGTTTAGCCTATATGCATTTTGTTCAACATGTTTGATGACTGCAAGGGTATATAAGTTTTGGATTGCTCTTAGAGTGTTGTTTTTTATATTTTTTAGACTTGAATTACCTGATTGTTATGTGTCCAATGCACTGATATGGGTGGATCGGGAAGGTGCCTTATCACGCATGTTAAATTCACTGTTGACCCCAAATCAATATAAATCTCTGGTCCTCCTGGAATACTTGTAATTGGCTCTAAAAATACAAAAGATACAATTTCTTAATACAATCTTAAATAATCTCTCTTCAAGTGAACGGTCGTGTTTTTTTGTTGCGCTCCGAATTTTTAATTTTTATCTATACAAACCAGCGGTGGTTCTGTTTTAAATTTGAATATTTAAACATTTAAATACACTTGATTTTTAAACCTTTCGCTTCGCAAGCGAATTTTGTGCGTTTTATCATAAAATAATTAACTTTAACGATCTGATTTTTGTCTTTTTGACCACTTTCTTTTGTGCTTCGTCCGTCAACAGTAGTGTTGTTGTTAGAAGTGCATGCATATTAACAGACCCGCTCTCCCGCTTTTCTCTTTTGTACTAACAAACTTGAAAGTTCTAAGCGTGCAATTTATACGCTCTTGCGGTACATTTGAGTTGCTCGCATAATAAACCTGGAATCCTACAATGTCTGCTTAAAAAAACCTGCCTTCAGCTAATAAAGCCTGAGCAGGGTAAACTCACTTGTTGGCTTTGTGTCAGGATGGTGCACACTAAGTGCGCTGGATTCACAGGGCGGACAAGTGGCGATCTTAGTAAAGGCCTTGGTTTGCAGTTCAGCTGTGAAGCTTGTCGCGAATTTGCGAAGGAAATGAATTCCTTCATAAGCCAAACTAAAGGCAGCCTTAAGGGACTGATCACTAGTTTTGGCATAGCTAGAGATAGTTTTGCCAAGGCTAATGATCTATTCTTAGCGCTGGACTCGCAGTTTAATAGCCTTAAGCTATTATATGAGTCCCCGAAACGCAAAAAGGCTGCTGGTGGTAGGCCTGAGGGAATCGTCCCGCAACTTCAAAACGACCAGCAGAAGTCCTCTGCGGATGAGCAGCCGACTTTAGCAAAAAAATCCACAGTGGAGTGTATGAGACCAGTGCCTTTAAAAAGTTCCGATTTGAAGATAGTTCTCGACCTGTAATTCCACCAAATCCGCTAAATATTCCCCCATAAGAGGTTTCTGAGACCGGACTACCGGCACCAATTTGTCACTGCAGGTTCACAGCCTGCAGTAGCAAAACCCATCATTGTGATTCCACAAACGAAACAAATATTTGGTTCTCGGCTACACCCTGATCTCACATCATTTTATGTTTCGTCTTATATCAAAGACAAAATAAATGCCGATAACGTGAAGGTGGAAAAATTTTAATTTGCATATGCTAGGAACATTTCATCTTTCAAGATAAGTGTTCCTGACGAATTTTTTAACACCATATGCTTGAGCGATTTTTAGCCGGCAAAAATGGTGGTTAAGGAGTTCGTAGCAAAAGTAAAAAAGAAAGGTCCTACGGCCGGGGCCAACAAACTGCGCCGTCCTTAGCTTCTTCCCCAAAAAACTAACCACTAACTTCTTAATTAGCTATCAGAATACAAGAGGTTTGCCTAGCAAGCTAACCAAATTGTATACTGATAGCTTTTCGTTTGCATCCCAAGTTATTGTGTTTACAGAAACCTGGTTAAAGCCGGAGATCTTTAGCTCCGAAGTTTTTCCCGATAAGTACACAATATATAGGCTAGACGGGGAGGGGGCGTTCTTATTGCAGTGGACGCTAACCTCACGTCAGAAGAGTTCTTGACAGAAGATCCTTTGAATTTTAAGTTCGATTTGTTTTTTGCTGGCAGGTTAATTTTTATTACCTGCTCTTACATACCTCCTTCGTCCGATCTCGAGGACTATTTTAGGCACCTATCTGTTATAAAGTCAATTTCGAGTTCCTTGTCCGACACGGATCAGTTAGTAGTTCTAGGTGATTTTAATATACCTGGAACTATTGGGTTGGCAAGAAAGTAATGTCGTTTTTTTAGTAATCGTTTTTAATCTAATTTATTTACGACTAATCGAGCACCAGGGTCACACTTTTTAGTATCTAGAAAAAAAAGCGGTCGAAGCTCGCGAAAAATTGTGCGAAGTGTATGGTAAAGATGCCATGAGTGATCGCCAATGTCAGCGCTGGTTTGCCATATTCAGGCTTGGAGATTTTGGAGTTAAAGACGCCCCACGTTCTAGTCGACCATCGGCCGTTTTTGACGAACAAATTCAGGCTTTGCTGGATGAAAACCGGCGTTATTCAAAGTCAGAGAAGCTCAGTGTGTCGCATACAACGGTTGAAAACCATTTGAAGAAACTTGGCTACGTAAGCAAGCTCGATGTTTGGGTTCCGCATAACTTAAAGGAAATTCACCCAACTAAGCGTATCAACATGCTGCTGCAACGGATTAAAAACGATCCTTTTTTGAAGCGGATCATTACTGGCGACGAAAAGTGGGTTGTTTACAATAATGTCCAACGAAAAAGATCATGGAGCAAGAAAGATGAGCCAGCCCAAGCCACATCAAAGGCCGATATCCATCAGAGGAAAGTTATGCTGTCTGTTTGGTGGAATTGGAAGGGTGTAGTGCACTTTGAGCTGCTGGGACGGAATGAAACCATCAATTCAGATGTGTACTGTCGCCAGCAATTCAATTTGGCGGAAAAAATTAAAGAAAAGGAGCCGGCACTAGCTAATCCTCGGATTATACTTCCAATGCTTTACAACCTATAGGCCACAATGAATTTATTGACGGTCTACTTGACATACCTCTGTGTCAGGTACACCATGTTCGATATTCATTAGATCGTTTACTTGATTTGTGCCTTGTCTCAAATCCTGAAAATGTTTTTCTTTCCAGAGCAACACCACTTACGCTGCCTGAAGATCCCTATCACCCTGCTTTCGAGGTGACTATCGACACTGGTATAACAGTTTAAAATAATGCTATAAAGGCAGCCAAGCGAACTCATTGTTTTCGCAGGGCTAACTTTCTGAGTCTTAAACATCTTATATCTGGCAATGACTGGTCCGATATCTACTCCTGCAATAATATGGAAGATGCCATTACAATTTTTTATTCGGCAATCAAATCGTTAACTCGTGTGTTCCGCTATATAACCCGACAACATCCAAAAAACCACCTTGGTTTAGCAAGGAGTTGTCACGCCGTAGGAATTTAAAGTCCAGACTTTATAAAAAATGTAAGGTTTCAGGTTGTCAGTCTGTTTTTGGAAAATACATAAGAGCTCTGTGTTGCAAAAATTATTTAGTCCGTTGCAAGTCCCAGTTTTTACGTTATCCTAAACAGTTTTATAATTTTGTTAACACTAAGCGCAGAACATGTTCGTTTCCGCCTTCGCTTTCGTTTGAAAGTATGACGGCTAATACTGATAGCCGATCTGTTTGCCCATTTCTTTTAAAAAACTTACTCCACAGTGTCTCATTCAAGTGAGCAATATTTATACGCCATACCTAAGTGGAACTTAATATTTCGTCCCACCTTAAACGAAAGCTCCCTACTTTTAGATTTTCAACGTGTTACACCAGTTTACTCCCCAGGTCCTGACGGGATTTCTGAGTGTGTTCCTAAACACTGTGCTAATGCATTGTGTAAGCCCCTTCTCAAGCTATTTACCCTATCCCTACAAACTTGTCAGTTTTCCCTTGTTTGGAAGGAGTCATTTTATATTCCCCTTCATAAAAAGGGAAACGAGTCGGATGCTAGCAATAATAGAGGTATTTCTAAATTGTCAGACATTCCAAAGCTTTTTGAGCGAGTATTAACTCCTCACTTGCAGCACCTTTGTAGATCAGCCATATCTCCATGCCGACACGGATTTATGAAGCGCAGATCTACTACAACAAATGTTTTAGAGCTCACGCCCTTTGTAATAAATGGCTTTAAAAATCATTTTCAAACTGATGTCATTTAGACAGATTTCAGTAAAGCATTTGACTCTGTATATCACTTCCTTTTGATTCGCAAACTTGACATGATAGGGTTTCCAGTTGGATCTCTAGTTATCTTAGTGGCCGCACACAAAGAGTGCTTTTCAAAAATTCCTTAAGTAGTCTCCTCAGAGTTAACTCTGGTGTAGCACAAGGAAGCCACCTGGGACCATTACTTTTTACCCTCTTCATTAATGACCTTCCATTGATCATTGCACATTCCCGCGTACTTATGTACGCGGATGATGAAAAAATGGGTCTGCAGTATAATGAATACTCCGTCATTCAAACCTTCAAGCAGACCTAAAAACTTATCAAAACTGGTGTCACGACAATTTACTGAATTTAAACAGCTCCAAGTGCAAGCTGATGACGTTTTGTCGGGTTAATCCGCATAATGTCACCTATTCGCTAAGTGGGAGAACCTTGGAAAGAATTTGGCCCCTAAACTTAAATTCTTTCTTCATATTTCGAACATGGGTAATGAAGCTAGGGGAATGCTTGGATTTGTTAAACGATGGTCGAAGGAATTTGAGGATCCTTACGTTACCAAGGCTTTATTTATATCGTTGGTCCGACCAATTCTTGAGTATGGGGCACCCGTATGGAGTCCCCAAAAGGGAATACATGCTGATCGCATAGAATGAACACAAAAACACTTTTTAATTTTTGCCCTACGCCGCCTAAACTGGAATGCAAACCTATTCCTACCCTCATATTCTCATAGGCTGCTCCTCATTAACTTGCCCTCCCTTACTAACCGTAGAACGATGCTTGGTACTATATTTATTCATAACCTTATACGTGGTGAAATTGACAGTGCTTACTTGTTAAGTAGACTAAATTTCTCGGTTCCAAGTAGATTTACTAGAAATTATGTTCCTTTAGTTTTAAATCTTTGTAGATCTAATTATGACGTGCATGAGCCTTTCAGGGTACTTCGTTCGGACTATAATAGACTGTTTTCTATAGTATCTTCTTCTGACTCTCTGCAGCTCCTAAAGCGATTAATAATAACATATCTGGCACGAAATTAGATCGTTAAATTTAAAATTAAATCAAAGTTAACTTTTGCTTCGTTTTCTAATTTTTTCCTTTTTTTATTTTAAAAATCGCGTCCAAATTCTCGCGAATCGTGCCGTACGATACACGGCTGTTGGCCCTCGGTCCAGTTGGGCGGGTGGTGGGCCGTGGGACTACGCACGAAAAAAAAAAAAAA